CTATTTTATGCATTGTAAAGTGTAGAAAATTTCTAAAAACATGGCCTGATATACAACACATATAATGGATGGGATTAAGAAAGCATGGACTAAAAATATAAGTATAAAAGACTCTTTGTCATGACTTTAACTGCACAAGTCATTGGGACTACTGGATGAAGTAAGCAGCAGAAGTCAGTAATAAGCAAATGGGCAGTATTGCTAGCTCCAGAAACCACACATATGTTAAAACATCCAAAATCATCACAAAGTATTAAAGTAATGAGACTTTAAGAAAATGCACTGGTCTTTGATCTGTCTCCTGAAATGTAAGTAGAGAAGTGGTCACCCCCCAATGAACATCAAGCTACTGGGGGTTAAAAATTCAGTTGTCCAGGCAGAGTATTCCATGGCAAGCATTCAAAAATCTCAGAAGGGGCCCAAACTGTTTTTTCTCATCACCAGGACTGACTTTAAGATAATTTTGTTAAAAAATGAATGTCCATACTTTCAATTTGCCTGCTGTTTTTTCCAGGGTTTTGTTCATAGCTATGATACAACAGGGGCATGATACCTCTGAAGCAGAGCTCTACAGTCACTTAGAGCTGAAGCATTCAGAAAACCAGCAATTATTACAAAGCCACTAAGGATGGTAAAATTGCAAGTTTCAAAAATATACATGCAAACATGGAAGCTGAGTTTGACACTGTCTTGTTCGAGATGCAGCAGAAGTAGACATGTCACTTCTTAGATTAAAACTATGTCACAGGCCATCTTGTATGACACAGACTGTCAAATTTCACCTAGCTACCATTATAGCGAGCCCAATAATTTGTGTTAAGTGAAGTATGTCTCTTAACAACTCGCTGGTATTGACTAGAAGTCTTCAGGGGAAACAGAAATCTTTATTCCCTTCACTAGTTTGCTCTGATAGCATCACATCTTCTAACTAAAAGTTCTTGGTACATCTGTGCTCAAGAATTCAAAGAGCTCTTCATATAACCCAGTTCTCTAAAGCTGAAAGATACGTATTTGTATTGGTAACAAGCAATTCAGTGTTCAATACTTTGAGAAGCTAATCAGGCAGAACTCTCTAAGACTTTCAGACTAAGCAGTCAAGAAGATGTCTTTATTCATTTTGGCGGGGTTTTTGAGCACCCTCTTCCACTTACCTCTAACTTCCTCTCTTTATCCCACTTCCGTGGCCTTAAGACATTCACTGCCCCATCTCCCTGCACTTTGTTAGTTTTATGCTCTGTTCCACCTATTTTTGTATGTATAGCCTCCTATCTTTGAATTTTTCCTTTCTCTGTCTTCCACCCCTCGTAACTTGAATTTTCTTAGTGACACAATTACAATGACTACCTGGGCTTTCTTTCTGTTTCTTTATATCACCCATATTCAATTCATTCCTCAGCTTCACATTGTATGCCTAAAGTCCATCTTAAGTCCTGAGAATGGGTGGTCTCCAGTCCCACAGCAAGGTAGAAAAAATAATGAAACCTTTTCATTGCCATTAAGGACAAACTCATGATTGCTTGAGAAAACCACTAGAAAGTGGTGATCATTCTAACTAAAAACTGCTTGTAGCTAAAAAAATTTACAAAAAAAAAAAAAAAAAAAAAGAATAGTGGCCATTAAAGAAAGAGAAATTTATAGTTATAGTCAGATACTGGGAAACAGAAAAGAGAAAAAGAAATAATTCAGGAAAAAAATATTCTAAACCCCATTAAATTTCTACTAAAGACATTGGCATACCTGAATGCAAAACCCAACAAAACATGACTGCAGTGGTACTTTAGGAATGTGTCCCTGTTTTACTGTGTGACAAAAGAAAAATGAAAGACTAGCAATTACTTCCACAATACTGCCTCATGAGCAAATGAGATATGCCTTGTTAATCAGACACTTGAAATACACACTAATTAGTGTACCAGTATGGAATGTTTATTTTAATCTGAAATTGCTCAAATGAAGTATGTGGCGAAAAAATTTAAACTCATTAAAATCACAAGCTAAACCAATCTAAAGAATAAAAACTCCCTACAGAGTATAGGAAAAGAGCAAGTGACTTGAAAAACCGCCGTGTCAAGTCTTGGCTTATTTGAAAAAGCAAGATAATATACTTGTGTAGGATTGTAACCACACTGGTATCTGCTGGGTAACAAATCTCCCACTGGATGTGAGTAGAGAGATATATACAAAAGACAAGTCCACTCTAAAAGGTAGGCTCTAGTGCCGCAGATGCCATTGGGAACCTGGGGGTTTTGGGGGGTTTTGGTGGTATTATTTTCATTTCTGTTTCTTTTTTTGATCAAGGTATGTGGTCAGCTGTGGTTTTTCTGCCACATTATAGCGACAAATCTGGTATACAGCTTTTTTATTAGATATTCTCACACAACAGATTCTATCAGTTTCCCAGAAATAAACTATTCCAGAGTCTCATTCAGACAGTTGTCCATTAAAAAAAGACCTGGAAATTATAAAATGTGTATTTTAGAATGACCATGAGAAAAATTATCTTCACAAACACAGACATAAGCAGATCCTGAAGTCAGGCTACGTCAGGCCTCATAGCTGACACAAATCAACATGCCTCCATTGAAATCACAGGCTTTTGGGTGACCAGTCCTTCCTAATTACCATACAAGACAAAAGAAATAATTTAAAAGTAATAGATTACATAAGTTAAAGAAGATTTTCTAGAATTTAAGTGTTATAGCCTATGGCTATCTTGCACTTATTTATTTTAAAACTTTAAAATGTGGATAATTCAGCTTAACAAAGGTACAGCAGTTCTGTCTTCTATTTTTATAAGAAGAATAACAGTATCAAATAAACCTGCTGTGAGGTAAATTGTAGAAAACCAAGAAAAGTCATACCAATCATACAGGAACAAGAAAGAAAAGGGAATTTTTTTATTTACTTAGTCCATTAAGAGCTCTAATTTTGTCATTAGTTAATTAATCCATCCCAGTGCCTGACAAACACTTGATGTGCTTTCTGTTTGTTTGCTAATGATTCAGTTTTCTCCATTTATTTAGGCGATGGCAAGTAATGCTTCAGTCCAGTCCTTCCAGCTCCCACACCAAACACAAGCAGTCAGTAGCATCTCTCTTCCCCAGAAAGTGGATTTTTTTTTATATTTAGGAAGGGGATGAGCAGAAATTTGTGAATCCTGTCCAGTATGTGGATCTATTTTGTGACCCGCTGGTTAGCACTTGGCTTTTAGATGATTATTTTCTTTTGCTCTCAGCTCAGATGAAATGGTTGCACAGGTGATTTGGGTTCAGTATGGACAAACCACCCCATCATGCAATGAGAAAACACTTTTCTTCTTATTAAACCTGTGGAAAATTACATGACTAAACCCAATAATGAGTATTTTCTAAACTTCAAATTGAAGAAAGATTAGGAAATTCTACCTACATAACGGCCCAAGTCAACTTAATTCTGCCTGTTTGTGCACATGCTGTGATACAATCTTTATCTATGTGAATTTATGCATTTTTTTTTCCTCCCAGAAGAATGTCCTGTTTGGAGCACTGAATGGGTACACTCGGGATCAAACTAATGCTGCCCATAATCTGGAATTTCCTACTTTCTAGGTGCTTGATTTTGCAGGCTCAATAACACTTTTTCATTTAGACATCTTAAATATATAATTATTCAGATGGCTTAAATGTGCTTTTTGCTCACAAAGTCTTTTTTCTCTTTACATATCTTACTCTAGCCTAAATAAATGCTAAGACAAAGGCCAAGCTGGCTGGTAGCCCAGAATGTAGTTGTTAGCAAATTGACAGGGACCACCTTAAATTCATCGAAATGTCTAAATATTGTATTTGAGTTATAACTAAATTTTAAAAGGCGATCTTTATTGAAAGAACAACGGAGCGACTTTAGAACAGCATAAACAAGTTGCTGGCTGAAATGAGAATTGAATGGATTACGTCTGTCGAAGTACGTTCTGACTTACCACAGCTCTCCATTACTGTAAAACACCAAACACTTAAGGACAGGAAGTATCCTCGTGTTACCATATAAACAATGAATGGGCTTAGGTTATGTTAACAACTAACTTGGAAACTTCCAATAAAAAAAGCCACCAACCAAAAATATGGCTAAGAGTGCCTGAACCTTTTCCCCAAAAGTAACTAATTCTGATAATTCTTAAGGTGATTTTTCCTCTTTCCTTAGAGAATTGTACATAGAGTCCGATAAAATGTATGGTAAATGTGAACACAGTACAATTTAAAGATGGCCTGTGATGGCAAATAAAAATGGCATTTTTTCCAATCTACTGAAGATCTGGAAGGTGCAAGGTTTGGTTTACAATTTTCTTCTACTTGTTTCCTTTTTGCTTTTAAAACTTTTGGAGTATCAAAGTCTTGTCTTGCTTTTACACATAAGAGTGTTGGAGGACAAGAAGACTACAATGGAAGTCCTCCCTAGTTCCTATCTGGAGCAGCAGGGTGATGAGTGATTAACATGGAGATTTATTTTTTTTCTTCTGGCTTTTTGCCAGAAGCTTGAATTAAACTTTTTAAGAACAGCCGAACAAAATGGGAGTTTTACACAGCCTGGTTAAAAATCCCTTTCCCTTCTCAAATGCCAGTTTCTTGTGACAGATGAAGGCTAGAGATGACGGCTTCATCTCTCTGCTTTTCCAGCTACCCATAACCTTCTAGTAAAAATAGGATAGACAAGACCTGATACATACACAAAATTAAACAAAACCTTTGCAGAAACCTTACATCTGACTTTACAACCAAAGCAAGCTCTTCAGGCTTTCCTAATATGTCTTAAAAATACATAAAAGGCAACATAGTTTTGTCTCCTTTTTGGGTCACTCTTTAGATCTAATCAGGATTTTACTATGGCAAGATAGGCAAATCCCAGTGACAAGAACATGCCATATGAAAATCACAAGATGTGTCGAAATTTAAAATTTACTAATGCTGACATTCTGGGCTTACTAGATATTAATAAAATTACAAGAGTGTGGGGTGAAGGTATTATACCTGGTCATGGCTGGCTTCAATGGAGCTTCCGATACCTTGGAAAGTCATCTGCACAGGAGACAGTGTCAAACAGGTCATACACTCTTTGCCATTTTGTCTATCACTGTAGTGTACCTATAACAGAATAACATACGTAATCTGCTAAACACCAGGTTTGTACAAGGGAGTCATGCTAAAATACTGTCCCTTTTCAACAAGTTTTTTAAGAAGAATTCCATACATTTACATTGAATTCATCTTTAATATAAAACAAGGAGTGGGTAAAATATTCTAGGTAGTCACATATTGAACTGGGGCCAAATTTTCTGTTCTATATCTGTCAGATACTTTTTAAAGTGCTGTGTTCTTCAGTTTCTGAGACCTTTGAGACTGAATTCAAGAAGTTCTGTCTATACAATTATAAGAATCTAGTTTCAAGTTATCATTTCCAGCCTCGATGTAATTTTTAACAGCATTCTGTGGCTTAGTTATAAAACATCCATGTAAATCATTATACCTCCAAAAACTTGGCAATAATAGTTTTAATTTTTCAATTGTAATGCTATTTCTAATAAAATCCACTAACTTTTTTGACATGGCTACGTAATGTTGTATATTTGAATTTGATTTTGTAATTAACTCAAAATGACAGATAAAATGGAGAAGAATTCACATTCTTCTTGAGATGTCTCTGCTATCCTTTTCTAAGAGTAACTCATTCCCTACTGATTTCAAGAAGTGCATGTTGAACCTGAATCTTGCATGAAATACTGAGGAAGGTAGTGCTTCTACTTGAATTATTCTCCTTGTCTTCAGGTTCCCATCAGATAGTCCTTAAATCCCCTAAAGAAAGGGTAGATTTTAATATGTTGAGACAAAATTAAGTTAAATGTTGCCAGTGTTCCATTATTAAGAACAGGTTGCCACTCATGCTGAATTGTTGAAATATTACAGTTCTCTGCATAACTCCTGGCTTCTAGGCAGGCACATCAAGCACTTTGTTCTACAGGAGAGGTGGAATTTAGTTTATGGTGGTAATTTACATTGGCTATGTGACCCCTGTCAGAAATGGAAAGAGAGATCAGCTCTGCTGGAGACAGACCTTTTATGTTAGTATCTATTTACAGCTGTATACCTCTCAGGCAAAAGTTACATGATGAAGCCTCATCTTGACATTTAGGCCACAAAATTAAACTTTATTATTTCTGAAGACAACTAGGAACCATATTAGAGTTTTTCCTGTGGAAATGATTTAGTAACGTATATGACACTTGCACACTGCGCGTATTAAATCCCCTGTGCCTAACTCTTCTTTGCCACAGGTGCAAATTGGGAATACTTCAGCTGAAGCAAAACCAGTGCAAAACTGGCTGAGTGAGAGGAAAACCAAGTCAGTGCTGTATTTCAGAATTACTTTACATATGACACATCAAAATAGTTTTGCTGTGGCCAAGAGTAAGATACAGAATGTGCAATTCTTGCACTGCGTATAGAAATATTGGTTTCACTCAGCCCTTCTTAAAGCGTTCTAGATTAGCACTGTCTCTCTTCCTCTCTCAACCCCCACAATATGTGCCTACTAAATTGCTTGTGGCTCTCTGCCAGAAAAGCCATACTACTTACTTAGAAACCAAAAGAGGCCCCTTTACACATACAATGGTTTAACTTTGATTAATCGAAAGACGTATGAAGGTATGAAATTTGGCTTGCAAATATAAACTGAAGTTCCTTAAATGTCAGGGACTACTGTTATGACAAGGACTTAACAAGCTTCCACAACTGCGGTGTCTGGTTGCAAGCTAGATATTCTGCTGAGTATGTGTTGCTGGGAATGCAGTGTGAAGAAACGGGGTAGAAAAGCTCAAGATGACGACTCTGTACTGCAAACACGACAGAGCAAAAGGGGCAAAACCTGGTGACCAAGAAAAGTATGTGTCTTAGAGCACACATGGAGAAATGGAAAAATGGCACTTTCTGGACTGCATAGCATGTTTGTACGCTTATTTTTAATGAGAATAATATGAATAAGGTTATACTTCACTAGTGTCCACTGGAATGAAGCAAGGTTAACAAGCTGAAAGAACAGGAGATATTCAGAGGAAAAATTATGATTAGTATTCCATGACACTATTATCTGCAATAGCAGATTTGATCCACACCCCCTTTAGAATCTCACGCTGAAACTGCAATAAATTCAGAATTTTGGTATCTTTCTCAGCTTAACTTTCCTGAAGGAATTTCATGATGCACTTTTGGCCTCATCTGAATGTATCAAGGCCATTACTTTGTAATTTCTTAGACAACAGTCCTCTAATTATCTCTTGCCCTGTTAAGGCTTTTCAGTTGAACCAAAATAAACACTTCCTATGATAATGATATGAATAGTGATATAAACCCCAAAAGACTGGACTTTGAAAGGGGGACAGAATAAAACTTTGTCCTTTCATCAAATCTCTCTAGTCTACAGGTTTGTGCAGTCAGCAGAAACATTCAGATTTCTTCTATGGCATGCGTATATGCAATTTCCCAGGAATCCTGTTTTGCTATTTATCAGGCCAGCTGCTACATTCTCAAACTATTTTATTAATTTCTTCTTCAAATTTGATCTATGATCCAAAGTTTGGGTTTTTTTGTTGACCAACCTATCTGAACAGAACGTCCAAAATAGGCACTCAGAGAAACATGGTAGTAGTTGAATACTTATCAAATAGTCTGAATAGCAGCAGATGCTTCTAGATATTCGGCCATCAGTATGTTGCAAATATTTCAGCTTCCATGTCCATGCTATTGTGACTAAGCATGGAAGAAACCTGAACTTCTATAAAACTGATTTAAGAATGCCATTATCATTTAAGGCAGGGGAACACGAAGGCACAGCAAATACTTGATTCAGTATCTGCAATCAAGGAGTGGTGACTGAAGGCTGGCCAAGTGCTCCAGTGGTGCTCATGTGGCCATTACCGAGATTCATGACGACAATAATACTAAGTTCCTCAGTGCCTTAAGAGTCAAGAGTGCTTAATTACAGTGCATTTTGGCAATAAGTCTGTTAGGCAGGTAAGGACACTTTGTGGACAGGCCTTAAATGAGTCACCCAAATTCACTCGGCACTGGCAGGAGTGAATGGCAGTGCTGGGACTATAACCCACCATTAAGGCCTCTGGCTTAATCACAATTGGTCATTTTCCCTTTCCATAGATTATGGAGGTAAAAATCAAAGAGTTATGAAAATAACTACTATCTATGTCCAGGACCTAATTTTCAGGCTTCAATTTTTTGTAATTAAGGGACACTCACAAACTAGCTCAGTGCATTTTAAGGATTAAACAGCATTAAATTTCACTCATTAAAATTCAGAATGTTTTATTTGGATAACATATAAGCAGAGATTTTATAGAACAGCATTAGGATCTGCTTAAAAAATAATGGCCAGCCTAGAGAAGTCCGTAGTAAGGGCCGTGCAAGTTTCTGAGTAAAATGCAAGACTCCAGCCTCAGACTACTATGAGCGATTTACACGTTAATTCTCCTCCAAGGTATGTCTACACAGCACAGAGCAGTGCCACCACAACGAGATCCTGGCAATAACTCTAAATGAGCCAGCTCATTCGTTGGTAAAAGCACACAGCACTGCTAGCTTTTCTCCTGGGTAACCACATACGTGGAGTACCTGGGATAACTCAGGCATAACCAGCTCAGGAATCCCAAACCCAGCGCTCCCTTGTGCTGTGTGGGCAGGGCAAGAAAACTCTGTGTGTAAAACACAAAGCGCATCCTGGGCATCAAAATCGTGAACTAAATTCTAGGAGTAATTTTTTTCCACAAGCACATGCCATGGATTTACTCATACATGCATGCTTTCATGTTCGATATTCTCAGGAGATGCAACCGTATATCCTTGCCAGAGATTACTTCAGTCAGGAACAAGCTGCATGGTATGAGTATGTATGGAGGGGCACTACGAACTGGCGTATGTATATAGAAATGTATGCGAAGGCCTGAAACCATTTGACAACTATGTTGAAATTTGGCCCTTGTTTTTAATATTTTAAATTACTGAAGAGATGCAAATATTTTGATGGACATTTATAGCTTCACATAAAGGAAGATATAAGATGAATGTTTACAATGTTACAACTGAATGTGGAATGGCATAGCCAAAATTCTCAACCTTATATGTTATTTTATAAAGGAAAAACTAAATAACACTGAATAAGACTGCCTAAGAAATTACGTTTAAGGTTATTTATACCATGATGCTGCTCCAAAAGCATTTCTCTTGTGTTTATATAAAGATGTCTCTTGAATCTAGCTTTACTATAATACCCTTCCCTATGTGCAAGTGTTCTGATAGAAACTGTACAAATATTGCAGGATTAGTCTTGCAATAAGCTACTTTAACACACTGGATCAATATGCGTTTCAGATAATGGCCATAGTTAATCTGCAAAAATTATTCTGTAAATACTGTGTCCTAACTTCAAGCATGGAGTAGTCTGCTGATCTTCAGTGCGCACTTCTTACATCTGAACATCCGTCCTTTTGGATGAACGAGGGCTACGATTTACTGATGCACAAGTGAGGAAGGTGAGAGACCTGTTATATTACTACATCGTAGCTAAGTTTAACTATGATATACTAAACTACTGTCAGAAACGACCTAACTGGGCATTAACAAGAGACGGAGGGGAGCAAAAATAAAGGCTACCAGTTTCACACACTGCTGCTTAGATGTTCACAGTTTGAAACACAACTTCTGTCTGGCCAAACACTTTCTTTCTTGAACATTTATTAACTTAAAAAAATAATATGAATTACCAAAAGAAAGAAGTCATCTGTGACACTGGAGTTCATGTTTCCAAACAAAAACTACTCTGAGTCAAAGCATCAGCAGGAGTCTTAGAATGCTAGACAGAAATAAACTAGGTAATAAAATGCCATTATGTTCAGCAATGCACAAATCTTCTGGATTGACAAGCCCGGACTATTTTGTTAGAACAAAGGATGGTATTCCTTTAAATTTGCCCCTTAAAGGGGAAGCACCCATTTTAGTCTTGAATTTACAGAATAATTTCCAAGATTTTACATAGGTTGCTCTGGATTTACAGCAAGAAGCAAGCCAGAATGGGCTCAAAA